CTTATTCTTCTTATTAAGAAAAAAAAAAATAAAACCGCTATCAAATAAGGCTCTAACTTTTTAAATTTTTTCAGGATTTTAAAAATATTTTTATGAAAAATCTAGATTACAAAATATCGAGAAAAAAAACTAGTAATAAATAATATTTTCAAAAACAGAAAACTAAACTGAATTTAATAAAAATATTTTGAAATTTCAACTCATTCAAAACTAAAATTTATGATCAAAGTTATTAATATTTCAAGCTTTCTTTTGGAGTATTAGTCTATTACACGTGCATTAGTTTTATTTTATTCATATTCATAATAAGTTTCACCTTTTTTTTAAATATAATAAGTTTCACATTAATTTATGCAAATGTGAACTAAAAATAAATTTTCAAATTACGTTATTAATTACTAAAAAGAATGAAAAATAATTATTAGAAGTAATAAAACCCAATAAAATTATTCTGGAGAATAAATGTTTTGATAATAGCTCAATTAATTTTGTATGATAAATTAAAATAATGAACTGCATAGTGAAATAAACTTATGAATTTTACTTGACAGATATAGTCTATTAGGAATAAACAAAGTTTAATTAAGTTTTTCCAAAAACTAACTAAATAATCTAATATAAAAAAACCTAATTAAATAATCAGATTAAAATATTTTATTCATTTTAAATATTTTAAATAAGCTTTAAACTTTTAGTACAAAACGTTTGTTTAAAAATTATCTTAATTCTATAGGTATCTAAAAATCTTAATGCTACCCCAAAAATTATTAAATTTTATTGAAACTCTAAAATAATATTTATATATATGAACTAAAATTAAAAAGGTCCATTTTTGTTATATCATTTTCATCCTTATACTTCCAATTATTCTATTTTTGGTCTCTAAACTTTATATAAAAGATCATTTTTAGTCTATGCCATAAATTCATTATATATTATTTAACAAAAACCTAATATAGACACATCTTTGTTTATTTATCTGAAAAATAAATGTTTACATGAACAAACATTTAAAATCAAACAATTAATGAAAAATAAACTACAAGTGTTAAAAAAACAAAATTAATGAATAAAAATAACATTTCAAATGTGGACTAAAATAGAATATACCAACATTTAAGAACTAAAATTGAATAAATATATCAGTTTAAAAATTAAAACTAAATTAAAATATATATATATATATATATATATATATATATATTAAATGCCCGTAACCTATGCTAGTTTCCATTCAATAAATCAAAAGTAGCATGTTCTATTTAATTTATAAAAGCTTCTTCCATAAAATAATTAAAATTTTTGGTTTATTTCATTAATATTAATATTTTATAGATATGCATATTTTAGTTGATAGATATTTGATATGTCAATTAATGTTATTGAGGCTCATAAATTAGTTAGATCTTTAATTTTAGATTCTAGTGGTCCAAACAAAATTTGTGAAAGATATGACACACATATTTAGATCTCATTTAATAATAATTTTATTTTTTAGTTTCATATTTTTAATAATTAAATTTGTTTACCAGCCTTTTACATAACTTTCAGTTTGAATTTAATATTTATACTATCTTTTTGTTATATTTAAAAATATATATTTATTTTATGCTATTTAATATTTAGGTAAATGCCTTTTTTATTATATTTATATTGCAAGGTCTTTACCTATAATTTTCTATTTTTTATTAGATAAGAAAAAAAGTTAATTTTATTCATTGATGTAAAATTAATATCTCACAACTTTTCTAAAATACAACATAATTTTAACTTTTCTGAGTATACTTTTACATCACATTTAAGTTAGACTTAGATTGAATTTATCCTAAAATTTTAAATTCTATGCTATATTTGAAAATATATATTTATTTTATGTCATTTATATAACTATCCCTTAAGTAAAACACATTAAGAAAGTCTCACAGATGAATTTGAAAAAAATTTAGAATATATATTAAATTTATGGTTTGGATTAAAAATTTTCAATTTTTTTAAACTCATGTGAGTGTCGAGATTAGCTGGCATGCAACTTGGCTGATCTCACGAGTCAAATACCCAACCTTTTACCTTTTTACTAATTAGTCCACCTCTATTATAGGTCTAAATCTATTTATATTATATACTAATCTAGGTCTGAATCTAACTTTGTCCCAATCAAGTTCACTTTATTTTACCCGTAAAACTTTAATAAAAAAAATTGTTTTTCCATATTATAGTCTTTTGAAGTTTCAAAATATTTATATTTTAGTCTCTAAAGTTTGAAAAATATCATTTTTCTTCTCACCATTATTCTCTCTCTAATATTCATGCCAACATCAAATTGGGAGACACCCATTATTTGAAAATTAACGACAAAGTAATGACAAGAATCACTACTTCAAAAAACAAAACAAAGCAAAACAAGAACCAAAATAATTATCTTGTTAAAAATTCATGGACTAAGAGAGACATTTTTTAAGTTTAGAAAAATCTAGAATAAACCTAAAAATTCACAAGACTAAAGCAAACATATTAAATCAAAATGGAATTTAAACCTTTTTTTTTGGTGTTGGGCGGTGTGAAACGACCTTTCACATGATAGGAGAAGAAGAGAGATTGTAGAAGCTTTGAGGTGTAACACCTCATACCTTAAAATTGATAAATCATACGCAGAACCTTACCCAAACTCTGATATTAACAAGGTCGGGATGAGGTATCAAATGAAACTACTCTCAACCACTCACCCACTATCAGATATCTCGTGCCTAGTACCTCACGTTCATGCTTAGTGACCTTTGATTGAGTCACACTCATCAAGGCATATAAATACATGAACAAATTCTATTATGCACATACGCAAATTCAATTGCTCGTCCTAGGAACTTACGTCGGATTTCATTGACTTGAGTGTCGTAGTTCTTTTCTTTTTTTTTGTGCAAGTCTTCTTTGCACTTCTTGAATCCACATCCTTTAATTCATCAAGCAGTCGAGTTTTACACTTAAACTTATTGATGAAAGGTTAAACTTTGGTTCGAAGCATCAACATTACGAATACCTCAATTTTATTATTCATCCTTAGTGTTCTAGAAGACAACACATTGCTTTGAAAACATTTTCCAAACAACTTACAAATTAGTCAAAATGTTTCATTCTATATGAAAGACCATATTAGTCCCAAAAGATGAAGAAAAACAAAATCAAAATCAAAATAAAGTTTCAAATCAAAATAAAGATTTTAGATCACAAGATCACTCAAATTGAATCCACTCTAATTTCAATCCATTCAAATTACCTTTTTGACAAAGACATTCATGGAAAGCATATCTTTGAAAAAAGAGAATCA